CCAAACGACACATAAATCCGCGTTTCTTAGCCGAAATCGACGAGGCTCTACCGCTAATAGATGTCGACAAATGTCGCCTGCAAATAGATAAATCGGGTTCCTGGTCATTATCTACAGGAGAAGGTGTGCGGGGACTCTCTCGAGGCGTTGGGTGAATTTCAAAGGCGATGTTTGGCGTTTCAAACCCCTGATGCAAGGGATGAGGGGGCGACTTGTGGAAAGGTTGAGACAGGTTATCTTGCCCGGGGGGTGGTTAAATGGGCAACATTACTGATATGCATATAGCCCACAGTCCGGTCGTTTTTAGGGGGGCCTAGATACGGTGAAGCGACTGTTTCGTTGCCTTTAACAGTCACTTCGTTCTCGAAGTTCGATGTCTCGGTGTCGTTTTGTGCCGAAGCATTCCTGCATTTTGCTATAGAAATCTACCTTAATTTCGTACATAGTTTGCCATCTTGTTTACCAGACTTCTTCTGTTAAAAATATATGTTTCCGCTGCTTCGTTTCGTTTCAAATTTCTCTGTAATCCATGATCACTTTGCTGCTGTTTGTTTACCCAGACACCGCCTACTTGGCACTGAGCCAGTCACCGCTTGATACGTGCGGCGCCCTCTGACGGTTCTGCACTACTCCAGCGATTGTACACCGCCTAACCTATTCTTTAACTTTGTAGAATAACGAACCTGAAGAGATGCCTTACTCCGTCCTGGAAAACGACTCGCAAATTCATTATAGATGTCCTCCCAGGATAGCCCCTTCACGTCTTTCAGTTGAACGAGTAGTTCTTCTTCGGCTCTTGAAAACCTTCGAGATTTCCTTCGCGCAGCTGCGACCCTTTGTCTCGGATTATACTGCTTGGTCGTACTCCCTGGCTCCCACGAAAATTGCAATTGGAAGGTGGTTATACCACCCACCCTTACGCGCTTAAGTAGCGCGTCCTTCAGTGGCCATTCCTCGAATAATGCTGCAGACGATTGATCAATAGATCCTGTGTCAGATTTATCATCGGATGGAAGCGGATCCGGATCAATCTCTCTGTCTTCGTTGGTGGTAGTAGCTGACTGTGATAAATAGTCCAGGTCCCGACTATTATCATCGGATGATTCATCACCCATGTCGAAGGGTGGCGTCGCACCGTTTTCAGATACTCCAGAATTCGCACGGTCCAAGAGGGCGTTTTCTGAATAAGAACCAGGAGGCATACGTGCGCAGCCTCGCTTTTTACGGTGCTTCTCAGTAGAAACAGTCCCTGACCCTTGGTGTGGTAACTGAAAGGCGTTGAGCACTGCATTTGGGAATGAAGAAACTATCGCGCTGCTCGGCGGTGGCGAGTGAGGCGGAGGGAATTGTACCGACTCGGATACGGTGTTGGCTACTGCGCTCGTCTGGCCAGCATGGCTTTCAGTACTTTCAGAATAATCTGGGTAGTCCTTCATAAAGCGTGGCTGATCTCGTTGCATTTCATACGGTTCTGTCAGTGAGGGAGTAGAGCAGCCCTGCGCTACAACTACCTCAGGAATGAGTAACGCAGAGTAAGTTGTGTCATTTGCGGTCCCAGTAACAGTCTTTTCCGAGGTAGGATGTCCGTCGCTCGGCAGCGGGCGTGATCCAGAAGGCAAGCTTGAGCCTCGCTGGCTATGGCCCTCTTCGGTCCCGTTCGAACTGGGATACCGGATACGACCGTCTGAGCCTAGGCATGTGGAGTCGTGGAAACCCGGTTTTCTCACAGAACCAGATTTCGGTGAAATAATTGGCTTGGGGGGTGTGTAGAAATTGATATAACTAAGATCGACCAGCATTGTCGCTACACTGTCAAGAGTAATGAACAAGTTGTGGAATTGGCTTTAGAGCAGTCCTCTAGAACACAAGAACGTTGACTTTATAGCTAGCTCGAGACGTAGAGCTGAGCAGAATAGGGTATTGATCGTCAGCCGAAACGAGATGTAAGCAGTCACACCCAAACCAAGTGGATAATCTGCCAGAGCATGAATATCACGAGCACTGAACATCATCGTGCCGTCGATCACTACCGCCAAGAGATATCACCAGCCAATAGTTTCTCCCGCGGTCATACGATCCTCGGAGTTGCCGCGACAGAGTATGAGAGCACCTGCCTCATTCAGCCAACTCGGAGGCCTCTAGTGACGATCAAGGGTCAAGGTTTGCCAGCTAATGTATTCCGTTCACCCGCATGAAATGGCTGAGTTATCGCAACAGTCCAATTGCGTGGGCGAGAAGGAAATGTTTGAGTGAAATAAGCGCCCAGTGTGGAGGGCCGTAACGCCTCGCTCGGTCCTTGTTCGGGCTTCCACGGTGAGTTCTGGAACCATATGCAAGAACTGACTGCCCCTTGCCGTCGAGGACCTGTTTTGCGCATGCTGTAGACTACCAAAGGATGGGTGTACTCCCCCCCGGCGTAGTCCCCTGAGCACTCCGCACAGCGTCCAGTACCTGATGAAATTATCTGGCAGAGTTTGAGCCCCTACCCAGACATTCTGAGCTCTACGGCTTGCGCAGAGAGGTATTCAAACTCCAGCAAACGATGGATGATAATCGACAGCTGAGGTGGCGAAAGCCACTATATGGGTGTCGAGGTGGGTGTCGGGGTGGGTGTCGAGGTGGGTGTCGAGGTGGGCAGCTTCGCAGATTCCCAAAGTAGCTAAAGTCGTTCTCAGAGTCAGCTGTGAGTCAAACGTCTAGGCAACAGCAGGTGGTGTAGAACTGAACGGCTGTGAAACCAAGATCCACAGGACCGAGGGTGGGAGTGAAAGGAGGGAATGTAGAGAGTACCCAGAAAGGAACGTCGGGGGTGCCGTCCGTACTTATGAGATGCGGCAGACTGGACTGTGCACGTGCGCGAGCTCGCACAGGGCACATGAGACGCCATGCCGAATCGGGCGTGCCGCTAAACCCGGCGGAGCAGGCAGCGAGTTCTCCATTACTAATAATACTAATAATAATAATAATAATAATAATAATAATAATAATAATAATAATAATAATAATAATAATAATAATAATAATAATAATAATAATAATAATAATAATAATAATAATAATAATAATAATAATAACTGTTGGATCCATGCGATTCCAACCTTCAAACCATTCATACCGGATCCACATGTATGATTAGATAAGAGATTAGATACCGGATTGTGAGGACACTTAGCCAGACCTGCAAGTCCAGCTAGACCTCCCAATCCAACCATCAGCAACATCATGACCTTGACCCCATACTCGAGTATTATGATTGATCGTTCAAGCCTGTTCCTACACTAACTATATTTTATAGTCTACGGGCAATGCCCGAGATGATCTTATATAATCTTAGTGCTGTGCCTTCGGGCCTAACCCCGCCGCCGGAGAGCACTGGCAGCGTTTATTCGACCGTCCCCTGCCATTTTCCGCCTCCCCTTCCCCTTCCGCCTTCCTTTCCGCCTCTCCTTCCGCTTTCCTTTCCGCCTCCGCGTCTCCTTGTCTCCCCGTTTCCCCGTTTCCCCGTTTCCCCGTCTCCCCGTCTCCCCGTCTCCCTCCCGCCTACGGGCTGTCTGCCTGGCTGCTAGTCAACTAGTTTTTGCACCGGAACTAACTAAACCACATCCGCAACGACTTCGTCGACCACTAAGGAAAAATCATCACGATATACATGGACATCGTGAAGGAGCACTGTGACACTGGCGAGGAGTTGTTGGATGGCGCGGAAGCCACAGTGGCGTTCAGGGAGGTGGCAGTGCACCCACAGGGCACTTAGGGCACCTTGGAGTGCTATAGCACTCCACAGCAGATTCTTCACCTTCACAACAACTATCAGAAATCATCAGAATACCACGTTTTTCACCATATGAACCACCTACGCACTGTTTGACAGGAGTATGCCGAGATCAAGGCCCGACTGTATGTATCATGCCACATGCTTATTCTATTGTACGCTGACCACATTTTATAGTCTGCGGGCCATGCCGGAAATGCCTCCGTACAATCTGAGTGCCGTGCCCAGGTCACAGAAGAACAGCTGTTACCAAAGACAAGATGAGGTATCGCATTCGTTTCCCGTTTCTGCCCTGAAGCCACCACACACTAACCAAACTCCAGTGCCAACCAGAACGCAGGCTCGTCCTTCGGGTCCGACTCGCCAGCCAGAGGTCCCAGCCGACCCACAGCACGACCGCCCGCTGCCGTTGGTACTATGTGTACCCATTGCTGTGCGCGTCGATAGCTTTCGCATGACCCCCATCCCGAAAGAATCCGAGCACCGAGTACTGCTGGAACCTCCCTACTAACTTCGAGGAGATTGACGATGATATCTTTTAACGGGATATGTTGAACGGGGCAAAAGTGGATTGTTGGCATCTCTGCTAGTAGCCTATTCAACAGGATAAACAGGGTGGAATTAGCAGTGCCATGGCTGGAGGATGAAAGATGTGGTAGGATAACCAGGGCAGAATAAGCATTATATAGTAAAATGAGTAGACACGATGCGTCATTCTGCGATACATGTTTCTATCAGAAAGAATTGGTTTTCCATTCACGTGATATTGACGGGATTGATTCCTGTCCCATGAAGCATTGCCTCAGGTGGTCCCTTGGTCCGAGGTCGTCAATAGGTGTCGTGAAGTAGCGAGCATTTCTGAAGGTCATTTCCGCCGAGACTGACTACCATGAGCCTGCAGGTACCCGTCCAGACTTACTACGTCGCGAGCACGTGCAGATGATTCGAAGCTGCAAGCTGCATGGCGTTGTCACATCTCACCTCACCTGCGATAGTAGGTAACTTAGCGGAGTGATTGCGTGATCCTCGCTGTCCTAGTGGGTCAGCTGGGTCCATGAGCAGTATAAAGTCCTCATTATACTCTGAGACTTCACCATCTCCTTCACCGCGGATGTCTTCTCGCGAACGCCTAACTTACAAATCCCTTCGAATGTCGTGGTGAGATCACCTTTCATCTCGTCACCCCGCCCTGGAGAAGTGAGCACGCCATTCCTCGCTCAGATCGCACATGGCCTCCCCCACATCGGGAAGCCCGCGCAAGCGACCCAACTTCCTCTTCATCCTCGCCGACGACCTCGTAAATACGTCCCCCTGATCTCAGTGCTAGTCAGTCCGGTCACACAATTGACATCGTCAGGGTTTCTCAGACGTCGGCTGCTACGGCAGCGAGATCCAAACGCCCAACATCGACCGCCTGGCCGGCGATGGAATCCGCATGCTCAACCACCACGCCGCTGCCGCTTGCTCGCCGACGAGGGCCATGCTGCTCAGCGGCACAGATGCCCATCTCGGTGGCCTGGGGGTCTTGATCGAGCAGAAAGCCGCGGAGAATGGCACCAAGCGGTGGGCCGGCAAGCCTGGCTACGAAGGTTATCTGAACCAGGATGTGGCGACTATCCCGGAGATCTTGAGCGATAATGGGTATTGTACGCTGATGTCGGGCAAGGTAGGATGACCGTCCTTTAGCCCATCTCTGTGCCTGTGGGCTATCCAAACTCCTGATCGGAGTCCACATGTGCTGAATGAAATATGCACCAACAGTGGCATCTTGGTCTACGTACCTCACAAGGACCATGGGCAAGGGGCTTCTCGAAAGCCTTCGCGATGCTGCCTGGCTGCTGCAATCACTATGGCTGGGAGCCAGCACAAGAGCGCTTCCCCATTGGCGGCAGCCCGGTCCATGCGGAGATGGGCAAGAAGGTTGATATGTGAGTAGAAGTGGCATCTGACTCTATCACAAGTGCATGATACATACAAGCCGGACTGCTAACAGTGCCGTAGCCAGCCAAACAAGACCGAAGACCCCAACGGCTTCTACTCTTCGGCTTACTACACTGACAAGCTGATCGATTACTTTGAGGGTCGAGATGAGGAGGAGAAGGCAGAGCCGTTCTTTGCGTTTTTGCCCTTCACAGCGCCCCATTGGCCTTTGCAGTGCACGAAAGCACAACGTGACAAGTCAGTCGACTGACCTATCAGACGTGCTCACGTCCTAACCGTCATCATACAGATACAAAGGCATCTACGACGGCGGCCCCTACGCCCTGCGCCAATGCCGCCTCTCCAAACTGGCCGTGATGGGCATAATCGACTCGTCAGTCATCCCGCATGACGTCGAGACAAGCACGATGGGGTTCGGAGAATGGGCCGACATGACAGCAGAGGAGAAACAGCTCTCTAGCCGGGCGATGGAGGCCTATGCTGGCATGGTAGATACTATGGATGTCAATGTGGGCAAGGTGGTTGAGTATTTGAAGAAGACTGGGCAGTACGATGACACGTTCATTGTGTTCATGAGCGATAATGGGGCTGAGGGAGCTGCGTAAGTCATCCCAACCATCGACTTGAGCCTGCACAGGAAGTTGGAACGTGAGCTGATATGTTGTCTCTGTGCTGTGGCGTACAGGTTGGAAGCTAAACGTGAGGGACTCCGACATGCAGATCGCCACTGCGGGCGAGAGGAGAGATGCTAACAATATCTTTATAGCCATCATGGGCGACAACATCATGCGCGTCATTCACCAATATTACGACAACTCTTACGAGAACATTGGCGCCTGGAACTCTTTCACATGGTGAGCTTCTCCACCACCAGCATGTAAGCCATCACGATGGGTCGTTGACACAACACTCACTTGCTCAAGGCTCGGTCCCCTCTGGGCTCAAGCCTCCACAGCTCCATCAAGACTCTTCAAAATGTTCCCCTCGCAAGGAGGGATCCTCGTCCCCTGTGTCGTCAAGCCGCCAGCCAACACATTCCTCCCTAACTTCATCCCAGGGTCTTTCAACCGCGCGTTCTCAACGGTCATGGACTTTGCTCCTACCTTCCTCGACCTCGCTGGTGTGTCCCTGCCGCCTGCAGAGGCGAAGACGGTGACTACACGACTCGCGGGCGGAGTGGAAACAACCACGCGAAAAATGACCACCTTCCGAGGCCGACCCGTCCACGCCATCCGCGGCAAGTCATGGGTGCCCTTCTTCAACCATGGAGACGCGGTGGAAGACGACGACGAAACCTGGGCAATCCACTCCTCCACCGATGCAACAGGCTGGGAACTCTTCTCCCGCGCCGCCCTCCGCAAAGGCGCCTGGAAGATCGTGCACATCCACAAAAAGCACGGCGGTGTCGGGATCGGCGACGAGGGCTGGGAGCTCTACAACCTCAGCACCGACCCTGGCGAGACGAAAGACCTCGGTCCACAGGAGCCGGAGAAGCTTGCTGAGCTGTTGGAGAGCTGGGAGGAGTATGTGGCGGAGTGCGGGATTGCGTGGGGCCCTTCTGCTACTGCCGAGGGCATGTCAAAGGAGGAGGCGCCGGAATTTTGGCTGGATGAGTTGGAGTTGCAGAGGGGTTGGATGGGTGCGAGGGGTGGCGTGAGTCCCGAGGTTTGCCTCTAGACGGACCACTACTAGAAGCTGTGATTAGGATATGGGATAGAGAAAGATATTCAAAGGGGTAAACAGCTCCAAGACCCTCATAGGCTTGTATCCTTGGCTAGCAAGGCTTATGCACGCTGGACTCAGCATCAAAGGTCACTTTATAGATATAAGTTGCTTATTCCAGTGTGCTTAAGTCCACGAACATTGATATTTCTCGATGTCCGAAAACTAAATGCGACTCGCCGGACGGAGACTTATGGGGGGGGGGGGGGGGGGGGGGGGGGGGGGTGACTATAGCACTTGTCGATAACAATACGCTGAAAAATACTAAATAGTACGATCCTACCAGGAGACACAAGTTGTGATATTGTGGCCACCTCATGAGTCGAGAGATCAACAGTCACGACCAGTCTTACCTGTTCTACCAAGCGTGTATCCTGCGACATCACCGTGCATGGCATAAACAGCTTCGATCTCGTCCTTGTACGCCGCAACTGTCGCCCGGCGCTGGATAGTCCCCTTGCTCGTGCGTAAGAAAGGCTTCGCGGGGCCCGCGAAGATGATATGAGTACGAGCCACCTTGCTGCGTGGCGGCTCATCCATGTTCACGCTGTCGACTAGCTTCCATATAGCTTCCTCGACGCGATCGTAGTCGCGAGAGCTCTCAGAGACTCGACACGTCGTTTCCTCGGTGAGTTCTATCAGCATGACGGGCTGCAGGTGGTCTTGGCCAAATATCACGCACCCCGAGGCCAGTCCATGGCCTGTCATCCGATCTTCTGAGCCCTGGGGGTGGAAGCTGTTTCCCGTGGCAAGACAGACCATGTCGTCGCTGCGGCCAGCGTACTTCCACGTGTGCGGCTTGGTCGGGTGCTTCGTGTATAGGTCGCCGGTACGCCATTGCTCGAGGCTCGGGAAGACGGAGAAGATCGCCTGGTAGGCCAGCAGCTCCTTCTTCTTGACAATGACAGGTTCGTAGCATGCAGACGATGGGTCAACAATAGCGGCCACTGTCTTGTCGTTGCCCCTGTCGGACGCGATGCGCCATTCGAGTCCGTTGTACTCGGGGTAAAATGAGAGATAGTCCCAGTCCGAAGCGTCGAGTTGCCCGAGGACGAGTCCTCCGGTCTCAGTGCTGCCCCAGATGCTGGAGAGATGGGTCTGCTCAGAGATCAGATCGCCGGCGCTGCGTGGCAGGCTGGACCCGCCATAGGAGACTCTCTTCAGCTTTGCCAGCGCTGATAGACCAGCTGCCCATCTGGACATCTGCACCAGAACACCGGGAGACAGCCACGCGGTATCTGGGTTCCCGTGTGCAATGGCAGCCGTGACAGCAGCTGCGGAAGCCTCACCTTTTCTGAACGGGTATACGAGGACGGTCTCGCCGAACACACTGAGCGCGAGCATACGAGTACTGCCGATGGTGTGAAAGGGCGCGAAGGAAGACAGCAAACGACCTCTGAAATGCAAACATGGTCGCATCCTCCGGTAGCCTGGGCCGTCCGCCGGCGTCGTGTCTTCGAGCAGCGACTGCGCATCAACTGTTGCTGGTACGCGTAGGTTGTATGTGATGGGCTTGGGAAGCCCGGTCGAGCCAGACGTTTGGAGGACGAGATAGGGGTCCCACTGCGCTTCGTCCCAGATCTTGGAGTAAGGATAATGTGCCACGGGCCTGGAGTATAGAAGCTCTTCCAGTGATGGCAGGATGGCATGGCGGACTGGTCGTGCTTTCAATATATCTTCCACATCAACCCCTGCAGCGGAGATGAGGTGACTACACCCGCATTGGTCCATGAGGTCCAAGTGGCCGGACAGACTATTGTTGTGTGAGGAGTATAAGGCCTGCACAGTTGACCTGGTCAGGTACAATAACACGTCCGAAACACATGTATGCTCACCTTCCACCCAGACTTGGCCGCGGCTGGGCTCACGAGCAGATATCGCAGGTCGGATCTTCCAATATATGCAAAGGTACCATGGTCCACCCACCACTCGGCCACCCCCACCACTCGGACTACCAAAACTGCTGTAGCCCCCTATTAAGTCAACATGTTCACTTATACCGAATCCAGCCGTTTCTGAAGGTATTCACACCGTAGTTAGTTCATTGAATAGCCCTTTTTGGGGGCTTTATCCCAATCTAGATCAATCTGGCTAGACCCGGCGATAAGGGGGTCCCCCGCCCGTGATTTCTACCCCTTATAAGCGCAAATTTGCCCTTTATAGAGCGGTTGTCTTCTTCTTTTGTATGCAATGTAGTATTATGACTCTCGAAATGCCTTTTTATACAGAGGATATTATGGCAGATGCCATACTAGATGTTACAGATAACAAACTGCCAGTCCGAAAGTCCGCTCAGAATTGGGATATCCCTAAGCAGATATTATTGGACCGCATTAACAGCAAAACCTCAAAAGAAGAGACTCAGTAGTCAAAAAGAAGACTATCCAAAGAGCAAGAAACACGCCTAGCCCAATGGATTCTTTGTCAGAAATTATTGGGGCTCGCCTCATCGTATAGTGCCGTCAAGGCTATTGTCCAGGCTACCTCAAAGTTGAACAATATCACTAAGACCGTTAGGAAGAACTGGATAAATAGATTTCTTTGCCGTAACCAAGAAATCAAGAGGAAAAGATCTCCAGGTCCAGTGATTCTTTAAAGAGTTTAGAGAGGTCGCCTCCTGGCATTATATATGCACTGATAATGGGTGGACGGATAACACAGTCGCCGTGGGGTGACTGGAGAGTGTTTTCATCCCTTAAGCCAACCAGACACGAGAAGATAACAAATCTGAAGCGGTATCCCTGCTCCTTAATAGACACGGGAGCCATATCTCTGTGAGTACTAATTCCCTTAATTTTCTTTTTTTTGTTCCGCTTGGAATTGATAGATGTGTAGCTAACCCTGGCGGTAGGATGGATTCATGACGATGTGCTTCCTGAATAATATACAGCTATCTTTTCTGCCAGCACACACCTCTTACGGGCTTTAACCACTTGATAACGGCCCCTTTAACGCCGTGAAGGCTGCTTACCGCAAGTATATCGCTCAGTTAGTTACTCTAATTGATGCTGCCCCTATGGGCAAGATCAACTTCATTAGATGCTATGCCAAGGCACGGAATGATGGACTGACAGTTAAAAATTGTCAGGCTGGCTTCAGAATTACTAGAAACTGGCCTATTAGCCACAGAAAGGCGTTGGCATACCTAGAAATCCAAAGGCACAAGGCCGCTACCCCGGAGCCTGAATAGATAAAAAATTCTGAACCTAAAGACCTCCGGACGTCCGAGAATAGCCGGCAGATCATGAATATAAGGAAAACAAGTCCCCAACCACTCGGCTGAAGCTACACAAGGTTATCACTACTTTTAAGAAATAATTAGCAGAGATGGTGTTAAAGGACCAGAAGATCGAGAGTCTGAAGGCAGAACTGGAGCATATGCGCCCTAAAAAGCGCAGAAAGATCTCTAACCCGAATAAACGGTTCAATAGTATCCCGGAGATACTGGCAGTCAGTGAAGAGCAGCCAGTGGTTATTAAAGATTTGAGTAATGAGAAAGAAGAGGAGAATAGCCCGGATTCTTTGGAAGAAGAGGAGATTACAGCCCCTGCAGAGACCCGTTCCGGTCGGCAGACTCGCCGCTCAGCTAGATATGATAACTGAGCGTCCAAAAACGATCAGAATGATGCGCTTAGCAGCTGAAAATATCATGAATCGACTGATATCGGTGTAAGTGAAGTTGTAGATGTTTACGCGTGTGCCACTAATGTTGGGCGTCCGAGTGGTGGGGTGGCCGAGTGGTGGGTGGGGCATGGTATCGAAATTGGCCGAAGTTCCAAAACTAGCGTCGATGAAGTGGGCAACGCGGTTGACCGCGTCTGCAAGTCGTGAGAATGTGACATCTTCGTAACCCTTGCTGATGTCTGATCCGCGTGGAATGGAAGCCCACACACGGTCAGGGGCATCGCGGGCTATGTCGACGATGGCGGACGGCAGCAGCCGTCTGCCGCACTCGGGAGGGTTGTCGGGCGTATTCATCACAACAGTACACAACTGGTTAGATGAATATATACGACAAAAGATTGAGGCAGATGCCGCAGGTGGTGGATGAAATATGAAGGATATAGGGGGAAGAGAAAAGGGGCTCGTCTCCATAGTAAGTCGGGTGCCTGCCTGTCTTGATATCATTCTTATCCCTGCGGAGTGTATTGTTACACATTGAGATATCAGCACATGCGCCCCTGACCCGAGACATGTCTGAGACCGTATTACCATGACAGGCTTCGGGTTCGCAGCCGCTCGTAGGACGAGAGCTCGGCGGTAAGGGCGTATCCGGTTTACCATTGGGTATTTCCATCTCGAGACCCCCGCAGCCACGACGCCCAAGTCCGTATCAAGCTTGAACTTTTGTTGTGTGAAAGCCACGGCGCCTCACTCTCCTCTGGCGCTGGTCTCATCGACGTGGTCCCTTTAGCCTTGGGCAGGCTCCCATTGCCATCATGACAATGCGGTACCACTAGAAACGCCATGGCTTGCTATTCCCAACACCCTCGAGTTAAAGCGCGGCCTTCTTGAATCCGCGGACGGCATGGACCACCGTGAATAGCCAGCTTGGGTACCAGCACCACCTGGGATCCGGACCAGCTGAACTCGGCTGGGGCAGGTACCACGACGGATGCGGAAGACTACCACGAGGCCTGGGCTTGGAGAAGTGGGTCTACGCTTGTTTCCTAAGGAGATGGGGGCGTTTTACGTAGTACTTCCTAGCTGTTCGTGGTTCAGAGAAGCTCCAGATATCTGGCTAGATAGATATGTCGGCAATGAGTGTAAGGTTCACGAAACCACTAAAGATCTCCGTACATCCCTCGCTCAGCAAGTGAGAGGTAAATTTATTGTAACTGGATGTAGCATTGGTTTCTCAAAAAGGGATAGGGATATGCTGGACGGAGACTTATGGGGGTTGTTTATATTCTACTACCCCCTACATGAATTATCATGTGCGCCTTGTCATCGGGTATATTAAACTGCCTTCGGTGTTATAGTTTCTAACCTCGTGCCAGTAATTGTGGCGTCGCCCCATGGTAACCCTGCTTCCGTCTCTTAGGCGATAGGTACTCGGAGCGAATATGATTTGACTGGTCGTATGCGCCCGTGCTCGCCATGCGCATGACCCTGTTACTATGTAGCTATCAGCGTATACCTAGGCCTCGTGGAGCACCGACATATCCTCCCCAAGCTGTAGACCCCAGCCGTTATATGAATACATCAGCATGTGCTTCGAGAATTGGAGCGAAGCCATAGTACTCGTGCTTGAAGGACGTGAACACACTTTGCAGGCCCATCGAGTCCAGAACAAGTCGCATCGTGTCGACTTTAAGAACTATTCCACCTACTGCTTAAGGTAGCCACCGAATACTTCATATATAATCAATATGTTGTTTCCTCAGCACAGACAATGACTTTCTTGGGCTAGGTAAAGGGGGTGTAGGGCTAGGGGATAGAACTGTGTTCGTTCTTGGTGCGAAGTTGCCGATGGTGCTCCGCAAGAGTGAAGGGAAATGGAAATTTCGAGGGTTTGCACTCATCCCAAACATCATGAGTGGTGAGCCGCTTGAGCTTTGGAAAGACATTGAGCTACACTTGAAAGACTACGTGCTTTCCCGACACCGCGACATCAGTAACAGAAGATCAAATATCAGAGTTGTCACCGTAAATGTAAGGGAGGGTCATTGCAATTGTGGGAGAGTCTAGACATCGTTTACCTCAAGCTGGTCCGGCTTCTCCCAATCTTGCGGTGTCGCGTAACTTCCCGACTTCCAAGTCTTGACTTTCGTCGCTGGCAAGGAATCCATCAATGATCTCGAACTCGCGATTGTCCCAGTCAAAGGACTGGGCTTTTGCCTGCAAACCACGGCACCACAAATGCGTAAGCTTGAGGACGCCCCGCTGCAAACTACCCCTATAGCAACCCACCGCGCTGCCTCTCTGGCGACAACGTTGCCGCCTGAGAAGAGTGCACGCTCGGGCCACAAAGCATTGTATAGAAACCCTTAGATAGGTGGAAATATGCACCATGAGCAACTCATATACAACGCGACCGACACTCGCGAATGTTGCAATAAATCTGTATACAATTTTGCGAATGCGACATCATGAACGGCGAAAGCGAACAACAGACGCCCCTTCCTGCAGAAGCAGAAAAGGGACAAGTCCCGTCAGTGTCAGAAAAGGGGCACAAAGGAACCAACACCCGGCGCAGCCGATATGCCCCAGATCGCAGAACCCAGGACCGATACCCGAACTCGTCCGACTTCATTATATATGTCGACGAGGAGGACACCGCCTTCAGCGACGCCAATCTGTTCTCGCTGCCCTTTCCACCCTCCCCCATGGATGTCTCTGGCAGCTCAAACCCCCTCGGCTACGATGGTGCCAACGACGATGACGAGGACGAAAAGGACATGGAGGAGGTAGACGAGAACGAACCGCCGCCACTAACAGCAGCGCCAGTGGCACCTCAACGGCAGGCACACCAACATCACCATACCACCCAGACCAACAGGTTCCCCCCGCTGCAAGGTCTGGGCGACAGCGCCCTAGGCGGCTTCCTAAACCTCGGACCCAGCCATTTCCATAACAACACTCCGGAACACGAGTACCAAGACGAAGTATTCATCAGCGCTCCCAACGAGAGCCTCGAAAACGACATGTTGCCCACAAACGGCCTAGACGGGCTGCGAGGATACCGTGACGTCCTGGTCGAGACCGTCGACGACGACCACGACGACCCGGTCCCGGATCTCGTCCATGAGACCGCGTCGGCTGGGTCTGGGTCTCCGCGGCCGCGACATGTTGACTTATTCTTCGCGCCTCGCACTCCGAGTCCCGTGCAGGCGAAGAACATCTCGCGGCGCCGACGCCAAGTCCGGAAGGTGACGCCGCCACCGCGTACGGATACACCTCGTCGGCGGCTCGTCTGGAGGCCTCAGTCGGCTCCCAACATCTTCCTCCGGGACCGCAGGGAATTCGAGGAGGCCCGCCTCGCGTGTATCTGGTACTCTCAATCAGCGAGACGGCGCCCCAATCCCGAGATTCGACGGTTCCTGCGGCTCCGGCGCGCGGCAGATAGTCTGTTGGAACTTGTGGGGTATGCTGTGCCGCCGCTGTCTGAGGCCATGAATGACCTGCTGCTGGAGAACGGGTTTGATCCCTGGGGGGAGGAGGCGTCTTGGTCGACTGCCCAAGGGGGAGAGGAAGAGGGAGATGACGATGGGGATGGCCATGTCGATGAGGAAGGGCCGCAAGGCGGTGAGGATGTTTCGATGCTGGATATAGACGAGGTCGCGGACGTGGAAGACAATGTGGAACCAGGCGCTGATGCCAGTGGTGATGATGGTATCCGCCTCCAGACCGTCATCCCATTGAGCCAGAACAACGCCAACGACACCAGCGACTCCAGCATCATCATCCCCAGCAGCTTCACCCCCATCAACCGCAAGCCCCCCAAACCCGCACCCGCACCCGCACCCAAGTACAAGCCCAAGCCCGGCGTCCCCGCGAGCCGCATCAGCCCCTCGGAGTGGCGCGCGAACCAACGCCAGGCCATGGAGGCGGTGGCCAGCTGGGAGCGGAAACGCAAGAAGCTGAAGATGTCTAGGGACAGCTTCCACGAGGGCAAACTCGAGGAGGAAGAGGGAAGGGTCGAATGGGCAGCGGGGCGTCTTGGATCCGGCCAGCAGGGTTTGGATGCGGGTGTTGAGGTTGAGCGTGATCCTGAGGACGACGACGATGACGTCCAGATGCTCGATACCTCACTCATCGATGCCCAGATGCTCGACGCTTCACCCATCGAGGATGTCCGCGGCGCCGAAGCGAGTACCGCTGATGATGACCCCATGAATCCAAGCGGAGACTCTACCGTCCTCCACCACGAGGACGCTTTCGCCCACGCCCGCGCCCCCAGCCCAGACGAAATTTCAATCCAACTACCGACAAAAGCTGACCCCAAAGCCCCCTCAATCGCAGGAGCAGAAACAGAAGCAGAAGCCCAACAGGGCCGCGCCGAGCGCCGCCAAATGCGCGCCGCGATCCGCATCGGGCTGGCCGCCGACGGGCTGGAATACAATGAAGACAACATACGCCAATATGGCGCCTCGCCCACGCAGCTGGGCTGGGGAGAGTCCAGCAGCGACGACAACGACGACGGCAATGGCAACAAACCCCCCGGCGAAACCCCAATCCAACACCCAGCAGAAGCAGACCCCGGCGCCACCTCAACAGTCGACGCAGAAGCCCAACAGCGCCGCGCCGAGCGGCGTGAGTTCCGCGCCAACATCAAAGCCGGGCTCGCCTACGAAGGGCTGCCCTACGACGACGACAACATACGCCAATACGGCGCCTCGCCCACGGCGCTGCAGTCGACGCCCGAGGCCCCCGACGAGACCCCAATCCAGCAGCACCCAGCAGAAGCAGACCCCGAAGCCGAAGCCGCCTCACTCGTGGACGTAGAAACCCGACGGCGCAAGGCCGAGCGCCGCGAGAGGCGCGAAGCGGTCAAACTCAGGCTCGCCGAGGCCGGGCTGGAATGCAACTACATCAACATGCCAGCGGTGGGCGCCGACCCCAATGAGCTGCAGTCGACGCCCGAGTGCGGCTGGAGGGAGTCAGGCGAAGAGGACAACGGCAACAGCGACGACGATGACGATGACGACGACGGCAACAGCCCGGAGAGAGGGGTGGTTCGCAAGAGGGCGTCGGATAGTAGTGGGGATAGGGGCGCGGAAGAACATGGGGGAGAGGGAGAGGGAGAAGCCGTGGACGCTGCCGTCGATGTAGCGGCCACCATCAGGGATGTTGTGGAAATGTATCAGGAGGTCGAGCATACACAATCGTTCGAACTCCTGTCTCGACGGGCGCCGCGGAAGTGTGTCGACGAATCGGGCGTCGGTGAGTATTGGGAGGTCTGAAGCCATGTAAGAACAAATAAACCACCTGCAGTAAATGGATACATGCTTGATGACGATGATACCAAGAGGCTGTTCGACGGAATAAGGCAATAAGAGAAAGTGAACAACCTGCTGAGCTCGGAACATCGTCTGCCTCCCGCCTGAGCGGCAAGGGAAGAGGTGGTACGACAAGACGGGACGAAAGTGTGCTGCGGTGACCCGCGTGGGCCCGAGGCTTGGTTGGACATGTTGGTATCGTTGATTGTGATTGTTGTTGTTTGCTATATATATCCTGTCCCCAGTGAAAACATGGATATTCATTGTAGATAAATAGGAGGGACCACCCACCCAGGAGAATCCAGAACGCAGAAGGGATCCAGCATCTGTTGAGCCAACCACTATGGCCTTGGTGTCAGAAAGCTCTGGTGCCACTCTCCCTATGAAGCAAACATTGCTATACATGCCACATAACCGATTTTCCCCGTCCCATGAATCCATCCCGCCTGCCTTTCCGAAAACCCGCGCCATGCTTTGAGCCAATACAGGCTCCCTCTTGCACAAAGAAAGTAAACAAATACCATGAGACGCCGGCTGTATGTTAGTGCTTCTCTCAACTTCGACAGTATGTTGCTGTTTCAACCAAATATGCCGAGTCCACCCTCTTTCTTCATGTCGGGGCACATCAAATCCCAGGGCTTCTTGAGGTTGGTCGGCTCACAGACAGCCTCATTTGCGAAGGCCCGATACCGGTCCAGTAGATCGGTCTGGGTCATATTCTCGGCCTGCGTGAAGAAGCTGAAATGCGCCACGACGGAGCGGGTGTCAATGACGAAAGGACGCCCTATCCGCTTCGGAATCTTGTTCGTCATTTCGTCCTCGTCGTCATCTCCTATTGGCAGCTCCGACTTGACATCCGAGCCCCATACGGCGCAGAAGTTCAAATTGTACCGTCGATACTGCGGATCGTATATCTGCTCTCCGCCCGGCCCCTCCGGATTGGGCGGAAGGACTTTCTTCGGATTCGGGCCTTTGGCGTCGGCGGGATAAATGGGCGGCTGCCCGAAGAAATACCGGTGCATCAGGTTCTTCTCGATGTTGTGAAAAAGAGAGTACTGCTGTTGTGCAGCCATGGCCCAAGATCTCCACATGGGGCTGAAGGCAATGAAATCGCCACCAGGGTCCTGGTCGTACCGGCCTATCGGGGTCTGAAGAAGATCGTGATGGTCTTCTGATATCAATAAGAACGGATGGCCCCGATACGGCGCATCTGGGTACATGATGGCGTGGCTGTCTTTCGACGCCAGATCCTTCCAAGCTTTTGGCGGTAACGTCTTGATCTCCGACGGCCGCCATGTCTCGGCGGGATAACCCGATGGCTTGTTGCTCGGGTCAGGTACGAAGGCGTGGATGGCCCCAAAGTGGTATTGCTCCATTCCGGTAAGGGGACTGTTCACCAGATTCGCCGAAATGGCAAATGGATGAGGGACGGCAATGCGCGAATGGACAAGCTGAGGTATGGCGTCGGGATGGATGTAGATCTGGTAATTTCAAAATGGTCAGTCCATCTGCTCCTCGCCTCATCGTGTTGCCCTGACCTGCGTCCAGGCTGAATATGTCATCTATAAGGGACAACTCACAATGTCATCGTCAATCTTGATGTAGATTGTCTTGTCTTCAATGGCGTATTCCCACAAGCACTTGTACTTCTCCTGTTCACATTTGCCCTGGCCGACAATCTTGTAGTCAGGATTCTCCAGGACAAGACCCTCAACCCAGGCAATATCGTCTTCATCCTGCGTATGGGCCATGAACCACACCTCGTCGAGATAACCGCCGTTGGAAACCAGGTTCTTCCGGAGATAACAGTCCAGGATGTCGACGTATCGCTTGCGACCAAAGAACACCATGGCAACGACCTTGAGGCCCTCGGGCTTCTGCCACCCGCCTCTGGGCGCGATACTGTCCTGGGTGAACCTGTTGGTACGCTCGCCAGCGTCCAATTGGTACTGGCCATCTTGATCGACAGGCCAGTTGGTACAGAATCTCTCGTTGGACGCTGGCTTCGGGCGTCGGTAGGGCTTGTATTTCTCCTTGCCAGGCTGGACCTTCGTCGGGGACGGTTTCGCGGGTGGTAGCGACGTCGCGGTGGAGGTGGCAGTCGCGTCTGCGGCGGCGGGCTTTGTCGATGTCGGAGACAGATGGATTTCCGACTGGTGTTGGGTCGGTGCCGACGGGCCGTATGGGTTGAAGACGAAGACGGTGACGATCAACGAGACGGCCACGGCGAAGATGATATACCTCGGGTTCAGGTGTCGTACGGGCAGCCACTTTGGCAGAGGTGGCAGAGTTGGCCAGTATTGACTGTGTTGTGACTTTGACTTGGTCTGGGTATGCTGGGTCGACCAATTGTGGCTGTCGTCGGAGTCGTCGAATTCGAACTCCTCGTTTGACGGGGCGCTGTCTTTGGACAGTAGCCTTGCGGCCGACTCGACATCGTCTTCCTGTTGTTTCATGGTGATGATTCGATGGTGGGCGAGCCGAAAATGTGGGTAAATGCCAATGGCAATGCCAATGCCACCTTGATTCGCGACCCTTGTCGAGGCTGGACACGAATGCTGCTATGGTGGCGGCGACGACGACGGTGACGGTGAGGATGATGGTGAGGGGTTGCGATATCCTTGTGATATATATTACATTGAAGGAATACGCGGTGACACCGGCACGCTGGCACAGGCGACGAGGACTGCTCGGAGTGACAGGACCGAGTCAGAAGACGGGGCGGCGCGGTGATAAAGGTGACTTGGGGGTTCGAGTCGATTGACCGTAAAGGGGGCGCAGCGGCGAGCCGAGGGCTGAAGGTGGAAGCCGTCAGCTAACCAGCTAACCTACCTCTAATAGGTAATATACTCGCAGACTAGGAAGTGACTAGGCCAGTAATTCTGCTGCCTGCTGCCTCTAGTTGGCACCACGTTGGCGCATTATTTGATATTGGCGATGTGGATTGTCAAACTTGACCGTCGCACATACATGTATGTTGGAAGGAGTCACTTGACTTGCACCACACCGATCATCAAGGAAAGAGCTCCCATCTCCCACCTCATCACCAATCTCGATAGAGTTCTGTCAAGACGCAATGTGTCATCCTCCCGTTGGTAATGTAACCTTGCATGTACCCCGACGACAGGGGTATGTCATCAACGCCATAGTATGCACTTGCGCTTCCCAACTGTGCGAGTCCTTGGGAAAGCTTCACCGGGTAGAGCGGAGCTGTCTACCACAGTTTCCCCCCTGCTTTTTCGAACAGGAGGCCAGGTCAAAGACAGGCCTCGAAATAAGTGCCAGAGGTCAGGCACCTCAAGGGGTGGTTTATGCCATTTCCTTTAAAATCGATGCCTTTATCAGATCAATTCAAATCATACTTGTAGAACTTCACGTCGTCGAGATTAGGTACTGTGCCGTCGAGATTTAGCTTCTGTACCGCCGGAGTTTACTGTGCCGTCGGGATCCTATATACTGTGGGGTCGGATCCAGCCGACCTCCAGCTGTATTTTCCCGCCTTGTTTCTTTAGACAGTGGGTTAGGTTAAAGACAGGCCTTAAAACAAGCGCCAGAGGCTGAGAGGGGTGTACTTCATGTCATTTCCTTCAGGAATCGATATGTAGTACTTCTAGTCAGAAGGGTCCTCCAGTCCTACCTTACCGAGGACCTGGTAGGACAAGGATGTGTCAGTGGTAACAGAATCCTGGTATCGTGTCATTGTCGCGAATCTGAATCCTGAATTCTGAATCCTGATGATGGCTGTTTGCTATCAGGGGCAATGCAAACCACAAACCACATACCACAAACCACCGCCCATGGACCCTGATTACTGGTGGTGGTAGTGGTGAATGTGGTGGTAATAAAGTTCAAGACAAGGTCGTCCGTCTGGTCTTGTCTTGCATGTGTGCCCCGTCTCACAAACTGAGCACAAACGGCGACATGCCTTAGATTAGTCGACGACCCCAGTTATTAGACATCAGGCAACCCGCAAAGTACCACCTCGGTTCCTCGAGGATCTCGGGTAAGAAAGCTTGGCGGTCCCCAATGGCAGTGAATTGGCTTTGAATGTTGTGGCCCCTGGGAGGCTGGGACCGACCCCGGCCGGCCCCTGAATTCTTGATCCTACGGTACTCGCCCGGAAATGAAATGATGCAGAGGTCGTATGTCACATGTGTCAGACGCGGAATCGTATTTTCTATGTGACATGTGCTAGGGATGAGGCACAGTCTATGGGCAATGAAGAAGAAAGCAAAGGGGGACACACTGAAAACAGCGATACTGCGAGTGTAGAATATTTAACCTTAGATGAGATCCTGACACTCGCAGTGAGCCCAGTGACACATTGATTGGAATCTCTACCAGGCAGCCAGGCTCTGTGTGACGGTGGCCGTGCCGTGATCACGACCGGGCCCGCAATGCCTCCTCCATCGAGACCCGCCTCAGCCTGCAAAACGGGTACGGTACAGATAGGTAGACCGGCTTCCCCTGTGCCGGCCGCGGCCTTGAGTTCTCCAACGGCACGTCGGCACGTCGGCACTGGTAGTCGGTCCGAGTTGTGCTGATTGTGGGAGAGGCTGATGCCAAACATATAATGTCCAATGCCCTCGTCTGTGACTTTAGGGTAGGTCATCGATCATTTGGAGGTGGATGCAGTGTTACCGGTGTTACTCAGACCGAGCAGGGCGCCAGGGGGCCATCCGGGGGCTCCGCTTTCACGACATCTTCCACACGGAGTAAAACCCAGAAGAGGTCACAGTGTTGTCGGGGTATATTCTATCGCCAGTGATACCATTGAAAGGCTCATTCACGTCGGCTACATAGCAAGATCTCTCTGGGTTCTCATCATACGCCTCCTACAGGAACCTCAAGCGGCCTCCTTAGCAGCCGGCTTGACAATGGAAGGGAAAGGGTTGTATGAGCCGCGCTCATCCCTCAGTTTTGCGATCTTCTCAACTGCCTCATCTATGCCGATCGGGTTTCCACGATCCTGAGCTGAAGTGTCGTCACGGTACCGGACGTTGACCTGTCGGCCCTGTCTCTCTTCATCACCCACGACTAGTCATTGTCAATTTACTGTCTGCAAAGAGAAGTTAGGATGACATCAGCAATTCCCTCCACTTACCGAAAATGAAGTTGTACTGCGCCAGTTGTCCAGTGCGGATCTTCTTCTGCAGCGTGTTGCCACTGAGGTCGATGTCGACAAACATCTTCTCCTTCTTGAAGATAGCGGCCACCTCTTCGGCGTAGGGGAAGAAGCCAACACCGACAGGGATAACCAGGATCTGCCTGGGACTCAACCAGAAGGGCCACTTTCCAGCGTAATGTTCGCACAGGATGGCAGTAAAGCGCTCGATGGATCCACACATCGCTCTGTGAATCATGACAGGTCGGGCACATCCAGAAGAGAGCGGTTTGAGGAAGCGCTCAAATTTCTTGGGCGCTTCCTTCCCATCCTTGCTGGGTGTGATGATCTCCTTAGCTGCCTCCTTGGCAGCATGGGCAGAATCGATGACTGCCTGCGGGTTCTTGACCTTAACTTTCGGTGGACCCGAGGCTGGCGCATCGGTAGCTTCTGGTTCTTTTGTCTTGGCCACGGTGGTCTCTGCAGTCATGTACTCGAGGTTGAAGTTTTGGGGCTGCATGAAATCCAACTGAATGGTAGCACATTGCCAGTCCCGGTTCAGACAGTCGACAATGGTGATATCGATCTTGGGACCATAGAAGGCTCCGTCACCTTCGTTCAGCGTCCATGCCACACCTCCTTCCGCCGAGGCGAACTCGTCCAAAGACTCTCTCAGCATGGCTTCCGCTCGATCCCAGGTCTCGATCTGACCCATGAACTTCTCTGGCCGTGTGGAGAGCTTAAGCTTGAAGGTCATACCTAGTAAACCATACATCTCGTGAAGGAAGTCGAAGAGATCGCTCTACACATTGCTAGTTAGTACATACGCTTCGACGACTTCCACGATACAAGCCTTGTTCCACGATGGAATCTGAGGACATCGCGGGTAGAATACCCAGACTACCCAGATGGGGCGCAGTAGGAGCAACTGGGTTCGTATGACTTACGATTTCGCCCTTGATCTGATCTTCACGGCAGAAGATATGAGCATCATCCTGGACAAATCGTCTGACACGAGTGAGTCCTGAGAGGGCACCAGTTGCTTCGTTTCTGTGTAGAACACCAAAGTCGGCAACTCGCCATGGTAGCTCCCGGTGAGAGCGCTCCCGGTGGCCAAACATGATGCAGTGTCCAGGACAGTTCATAGGCTTCAGTCCAAACTTGACTTCTTCTTCCATGTCAATGACAAACACTGCATAATATTAGTTCATGCGCCATGCGAGTCTGTATCAGAATTCGCAAACTGACTGTCATCCTTGTAGTGATCCCAGTGGCCTGAGGTCTTCCACAGCTCGGAGTTATACACTGTCAACATGTAGAGTCAGCAAGTACTCCGTATGGTGTATTTTAGGGATTCGTCGGTGATTCTCACTGTTCGGGGTGATAACCTCTTGGTAGTTACGCTTCCAGTACTGCTGTCGGATGTAGTCGAGGAGGGTATTGTAGATCCTGGTGCCGTGAGGTAACCACATGGCAGAGCCGGGTGATAGGTCGCTGAAGAAGAATAGCTCTTGATCCCTGCCAATCTTTCGATGATCGCGCTTGGCCGCCTCCTCCAGGAATTTCTTGTGCTCCGCCATCTTCTTCTTGTCGGGGAATGAAACTGTGTCATCGCAAGTCAGTATTTGACTAGACACCCATTAAGGGCGGTACGGCCAACCACGAAGAGCCAGCAATAAGATCCCAGAGTATGTTTGAGGAGCAAAAAGCCGTCAACTAGTCTTGTAGCGGGCATTAAAAGCTTGATGTACTGACCTCCGTAGATACGTTGAAGAGAGTCGTTGTTGTTGTCACCCAGGAAATAGCTTGCCGAGTTCTTCATGATGGCAAACGACTCGATTCTGCCGGTATCTGGGACGTGTGGTCCTCTGCAAAGATCGATCAAGGGTCCATTACGGTATACAGTGGTGGAAGTTCCGTCCGCAATCTTGTCCTTGATGATGCTGTCCAGTGTTCTCAGTCAGGGACCACTTCTCCGACGAAACTCGAAAAAGAGTAAGTGGGACGGATTAGCTCCCGAGAGAAACGTACTGTTGCTTGTACTTGTTGTAGGAGAACATCTCGAGAAGCTCTTCCTTTGTCAAGGCCAATCGCTCGAACTTTTGCTTCTCCTTAACGATGGAGGAGACGATGGTCTCGAGCGGCTTCCAGTCGGTGGTCTGCACGGCAGCAGATTCGGGTAGAGCCATCTCGTAGTAGAAACCATTGTCGATAGGCGGGCCAATGCACAGGCTGCAGCCGAACCGTCTCTCGGAGGCTTCTCCCAGAATGTGTGCGCTCGAGTGCCAGAAGACCATCTTGCCCTGTTCATCCTCGAAGTCGAGCAATTCCAGCCTGCAGCTCTTCTCCAAGGGGCGGTCCAGGTCCCACAGCTGCTCCTTGTCCCCGTCTAGTCTTGCCACGACTGTACGCTTGTATAGGCTGTTGCTGATGCCCTTGGCAATGTCTCCCGGGGTGGTCTCGTAGGAGGTGCCGGCCTTGATGCTGCCGTCGGGCATGGTGATGGTAATGGGCTCGCGGGGCTTCTTGGCGAAATCTTCATCTTGTCGCTTCTTCAGGCGGTCGAACAGGTCAAGCCGAGACTGGAGGAACTCGGGGGCAGGCTTCAACTCGAGGAGTCCGGCGGATGCATCTCCAGCTCCAGCCTTGGCGGCTTTCTTCTCCTTCTTTGCTCCAGGTGCCTTCTTGTCGCCGCCAATGGCGACATTCTTGACGCCGTCGGTGACGGATTGGACTGCTTTCTGTGCTGCCTCCATATTGCTGGCCAATTGATCGATCGGCTTCGAAAGAGAGGAATATGGGGAGGGCTTGCGCAATCGTGACAAGCCCGCAGTGTACGCTCCAGAAGAAAATGAGTCAAGTCGGTCTGAGCCGAGGACAACAAATAGTTCCGTGTCCAGTTAGAGCCAGCGTGGATTGAGATGCGGTGGTGGTGTGCAAGGTGGGGTGGACCCCTCGTTTATCTGCATCTGCCCCTCCAAGAATACAGAATGGGACTAAGCCGAATCAGCCTAAGCGCATGTACAGCTACATCCGGTTGGCTCCGCTTTCCATATCCGCAATTTTTCCGACGCCGAAGGTTAAGCCAAAAAAAAGCTGGGGCTCCTGCAAAAAATCCAAAGGTCCAAGTGCCAATTGGAAAAGCTCCAATTGAGACGAAATTCCTGTCGCACATCTTCAAAGGCTGAACCCTCCAGACACCGCGCATCGTCGGCCCAACCGACACAAACACCACAGCGAACATGTCACGAGGAGCGCCGCGCGGCAGAGGTGGCTTTGGCGGAGGCGGTTTCGGCGGAGGCCGTGGAGGAGGCAGGGGCGGCGGTAAGTCCCTCCAGCAAGAGCAACAGCTACTCTCTTCACCCAAGGAGTCGTGCGCACGGATAGCTAACGGTAGTTGCTTTACATAGGCCGTGGCGGATTCGGACAGCGAGACTTCGGCCCACCGGACCAGATCCTAGAGATGGGCAGCTTCATCCACGCGTGCGAGGGCGAGATGGTCTGCGAGAGCATCAACCCCAAGGTACCACAGTTCAACGCCGCCATCTTTCTGGAAAACAAGACCTCAGTCGGCAAGGTCGACGAGATCCTCGGCCCCATCAACCAGGTCTACTTCACCATCAAGCCCAGCGAGGGTATCCAGGCCACATCCTTCAAGCCCGGCGACAAATTCTTCATCGGCAGCGAGAAGACCCTTCCTCTTGAGCGTTTCCTGCCCAAGCCCAAGCCGCCGGCGGGTGCACCGAAAGTCAAGAAGCCCAGCCGCGGTGGTGGCAGGGGAGGCGGCCGCGGAGGACCGATCAGAGGAGGTGGCAGAGGCAGCTTCGGTGGTGGTAGAGGCGGAGGCCGCGGCGGCAGCGGCTTCGGCGGCAGAGGTGGTGGCTTTGGCGGCGGACGAGGAGGTGGAGGCCGCGGCGGCGGTGGTTTCAGCCGAGGCGGATTTGGTGGTGACAGAGGAGGCCGAGGTCGCGGTGGTGGCTTCAGCAGGGGCGGCCGATTCTAATGCGGCTCGAGAAAAAAGAAGATACCCCTTTTTACCTCTGCACTCGCCTACGAAAGCACCCGATCACTGGGCGTTCCTCGGGCTCGTTTCTCTCCTTCTCATGTTCAATGGTTTATGCGGCACGGGAATGGCGTTCAGGAAATGTGTGGGCTTATTCTCTGCTGTTTGTCTTGCATATCCGCAGGTTGAAGCCACTAGAAGAGGGTGCACCGCGAGGAAGCCAAAATTTACTGCCATACTCTCCCTTCTTGTCTCCATATGTGAGCAATGCGTTGACGCTACTGGCGTAATCCGAAGCTGCTCGTCTCTTAACTGCTGACCTGGCCTGGTAGGAAGGACACTGTAGCAACAACTCCTGGAGCAAGTCTAAGCTGGTGAATCTGGACCTGTGTGGCCTGTTGGTATGGGCATGAGACCAGTCGGATTGCAAGGGGCCGATCACTCAGCCAGACAGCGAGTTTGGCATATATAGTGAGCACGACGTTACGTTGTTCAACAACAGAGACTTATAACCGACTTAACGAACCCATGAATCGCATGAAGATCTGATGTACCTCGATGTCGGCGAGGATCTACACAAGTAATCATCAACTGTGGTTTGGAAACGCCTTGCTTGCTACGTCCAAAGGCGCGAAGTAGCTCGGTAGTAATCTTCCTCGAGTCGTACCACCGGCGGCATAAATCGACCTTGGGAGGCCTGTAAGGGTGAACATAATCTCAGCACACGTTTAGCTTACTCTCTTGCGAAGACACTCGACCACCCAGCGCGCTTACCGTTGGCAGGCAGGCTAGACAGCAGTATGCGAGTGGTATATAAGCGGAAACATTCAATTGTCGTAGTAGAGGTGTGTATATATGTGTGCTTGCGTGCGTTATATGAGAGTCGCAAGTTATAGGGGCAACCATATTTACCGTGGTCTATCAGCTGCTTGCTTGCCAATATCCGCACGAAGACATAGCAAACTGATGAAAACCTCCTTCATGGTCTTGAAAAGCCGACAGCTGAGCTCCGAATGTTTAATATGCGAAAGTATAATGTAAACAATAAATATTAACTCATATTCATGATCTGTCCATTCGTCTACTCGCAAGCCAACCACCACAGCCCGTCCGTCCACAGCACACAACGGACCACCCCATTGACCTCATCCAAGTTCCGCTCTAACGAAGAAGATTCCACCTCTCAGCAGCACCTGTCGTCCAAAGGAAGAAACACAGGTCATTTTCTCTCCCAACACCGCAACACAATGTATAGTAGAAGGGTAGTGCAGCGCCATGCAGAAAGCAGTAGAAGCAGAATAGGAAATAAAGGTTGCATCGATAAAACCTGTTGCCTTGATGAATGTTTGAACCGCTGCCCATCCCAGGCATCCAGCAAACCTAGCACCACCAGTGCTTCGAGTTATAGCTGGGCAATCTTCAGGCGAGGAGAGTCAGGAGATGAAGTGAGAAGCCAGTAAAGAATCGGCCGTCGACGACAATGTTTATGCTTGAAAGCCGGTGCATGAGGTCATCCCAGTGGCCAAGTTTGCGAACCTGCTCGACAGCGTCTGGAAGGGTATATGGGCGACTGAATCGGAGACGATGCTCATTGGAGCAAATCCTTTTCTATTAAAGGTGTATCGGGGTATAGAGCTCAATCTCACACCGTAGCTTCGTGTGTCTCGGCATCGAATATACTGTGTTTTCAATACTCGGTCGACCTAGTAAACTCCAGCCCGGGCGTTCGCGGGTACTCGCCGGGAACATGAGGCGAACTGTTCTGTCGATGGCCTGGAGGCCTCACCTGTTCATTTTGAGATGCGAATGGTACTTCTCCCGTAGCCGCCGTTGGCAGTGGCTTCATAGATCCGTTTCCAATACTCGCTGACGGCTGCTCTTGCCTGAACGTCACATAGTCTGCCGCAGGGGGCGGGTAGGACTGTTGAGCGCCGGGACCGCTTATACCACCATTTGTCGCGTCGTAGGCGCTGGGAAGCCCGGAATCTTGACTTAAGCTGGTCATGCTCGTTGCCGCCGTCGTCTGCGCCATGCTTGCTGACGTGGGACCAGCGACTACTATTGGGGGGTTAGTGAACCTGCCCGAGTCCTGTCGTTGCGGCTGGATAGGCTCTCCGCTATATGGGTTCACTCCGTCTTCCCTTGCCGACTGGTCAATTATAGCTGCATGGCTAGGTGCTTGATCCATGCGGATACTAGGAGTATTGCCATAGGAGTGACCAACCGATTGTGATGTTCCATTTCCGGGATAAAGCTCCCCGGCACCTCTGCCAGGTAGTAGTACACCTGCAGCTGCTATAACACCCGCGTCGGAGTTGGTATTCGATGCAACTCTCATGGGGTACTCGTTCTCGTGAAACCCAGACCCAGTGCTACTAGGAGAGAGCGGCACCTGTAAGCCCCTCTGTGCGTTGACCTGAAGATCAGACGGGAAACGCCCACCTGGCTCAGGTCTGTTCTGTATCGAGTCAAGGCGAGATCCCGGACTGGCGACGGCAGAGTTGGCCGAGAATGGCTCCTCATCCTCGTCATCCATCATGCCGTCACTACTGATGCTACGCTGGGATGATCGCGAGTAGGTGCGGGCGTGCCCCTTGACGAAGGTACTAAGCTCCTCCGGGGACGTCTCCGTGAGGGCCTTGATGTCCTCATACCAAGCCATCATGGTGTCGTGGCTCTCGGCACGGAAGACCCACGTATGACCGCGATGCATAGTCCCGGTCTGTCGCCCCTTTAGTACAAACTTGTTGGAAGAGCCTCCTTCAGTCGAGTGCGAACCCAGCTTCTGCTCGGGGAGATATAGAGACATGATGGGTGCCTGAGTCTTGTCTGCAGACTTGAACTCATGCAGATGAGTCGGCGAGAGCACATACCTGCTGCCATATTAGCGGATTGCTGCACTTTATGTGCACGAAGCTCCTTACCATCCTGCTGTATAGCTCTTCAAATACTTGCTCTTGCGCTCAAGCAGACCAGCCCTGATTTCCTGGCAAGCAAAGTGGTCTCTTCCTGGGTAATGGATGTGATCGGCCGAGCGAACCGGGACCTCTGGGTCGACAAACTGCGATTCCCTCTGGACGAAATTAGTCCACTCGTGGTCCTTGGGCATGCCGATGGGGCCAACACGAAGTTCGTCAATGGTGTTGTAGGCTGCGTCAGATTCTCTCTTAAGAATACCAGCGTACGCGTTGTAAGATTTCTGGATCTCGCCAACAACAATAGACTCGAGTTCACGTCCCGAAGTCTCAAGATTCAGATAGGCCTGTGCATGGAACTGTCAGGCTCGACCTCTCTGATCTTGGGAGTTAATTTCTTACCTGGTGCAAATAGTTTTCCTCGTCAAGCTGGCGCTCGACCTGTCGATCGACAGCAAGTCGCAAGAGGTAAGGATCTTGCTTGCCGGTGGTGGAGGAGGAGTCTAACTCGCTCTGGCCCAATACGTCTTGCAGGGCGTTGACGGCTCTTCTAGTTCCATCCATCTCCTTTTCGACCGAGTTCTTGAAGTCGCCAGACAGGCCCTTGATCTCCTTCATCTTCTGGTTGAGATCGCTTCTCAGGCCGGTCAGGGCCAGGATGACATCTTCTTCGATCTCTCGAGCCTTGTTCGCCTCGACGATGGCGTTCTTGTGGTAGTCTCTTAGAATTTGCAGGGCATCGTCGAGGCCGCCAGAAGCAAGGAAGCCAGGCGGCGTGGAGGTGTTATTGAGGACGTTGGCGAGCTTGAGGAGCGACTTGGAGCGGTGCTCGTAGTGCGTCTGTATCTCTCTAAAATAGGTGATGAGGTCTTTGAGGATCTTGCGCCAGGCTACACAAGACGCTTAGCATGTCGCTTAAGTAGGACATTAGTATCGGAGTTCTTACTGTGGAATCGGGAGGCGAGCATCTCGGTCGGGTTCCCGGAAGTGGGCACAGGGCAGTAGAAGGCGCTGTGCATGTCGTCGGCGTCGTGGGCGCTCTGCAGGGCCAGACTTCTGACGCTGCCGGCCTTGTTGCTCCTACGGCTGCTGCTCCGCTTAAGACTGGCGCCCCTACGCATCGAGTTCTTCTTCTTCAGGGTGTTGCCCCTCGACAGGGAGATGCCATGGCTGCTCGCGCCGTCGCTGGTGATGACCTCGGACCGACGCGAGGCGACCGAGTTGGAGCGCTGCATGTTGGCGACTTGTGGTGGCTGTCGCTGGGAAATGGGACCGTCGATGATGCTGCTCCCTCTTACGCTGGCATCCCACTCCTCGGTGAACTTGGGCTGGCGCTGGGGGAGGTGCAGGGTGTCGTCTGGCTGGTCTGGCTGGTCTGGCTGGTCTGGCTGGGCTGGGCTGAGCGAGTTGGCTAGGGTGTTGGACACGGTCTGGTCCTCTGTGGGTGCCCTCTGTAATGGTTCCCTCTGTAAGGGTTGGTGGTAGGGGAAATAACTGGCAGAGGTGGGGCGCGAATGGCTATCGTTGGTGATGATGTTGGTGTTGTTGTTTGTCGCAAAGGCTCCTTGCTCGACTTCGAGGGGGGCCGAAGGGTTCGCATTCATATTGGCCTGGCTGAGGTGGGTGGGGCCTTGGCAAGACACTGGCATGGATGACGGAATTCAATGTGTTGACGCAAGAAAGAGCGAGAGCCCAAGTCGGGGACTCGGCACTCAGGACTCAGGCTATGTCAGATCTCGGGGCGGGCTAGGCTGGCCTACTAGAGATCGACGACCTCCCGTTCGTTCACTAACCTTCTAGTGCCCCTCTGCTAGCGGAACATGAAGGGTGATGAGTCAACTCAACGGCTGTCGAATCCGGCGGTGCATATGATAATAGGGTAAGGTAGAGTTTGCGATGATTGACAACGGCAGACGCGGGCAGCGGGAGCGTATTTGGTGGGCTATTACAGGTAGTCGATCAGCACGTGTCACCCGTCAAATTTCAAGTACATACATGTATGGAAGTGGTTGTGCGACTTTCGACTTCAATGCTGACGACGACTTGATTCGACTGAGCAAATGAGAGGCCGGAATAGGGGGGTTATCGTGTCACTGCTACCCGTTGGTTGTACCGAGACATACGCATACGTACAATTTTTTGGCCTAGTAGGCTCTTTGTCCAGGCTGAGTCGGTGAAACCAGTGGATGCGATTCAGTGATAGCAAGCAGCCTCTTTGATCGGTGTTTGGCTTAAATGATCTTAGTCTGCGTGAGTCGCGAATATGCTATCACAAGCAAAACAGTAGAAACCAAGAGTCAGTAACAATGCTGTGTGCGGGAGAGGGACGGACCCTGAGCCTGAGCCTGGGAGGAGGGGATTGGCTTGATTGGTTTTGTTTGGTAGACTGCCAGACTGCCAGCACTATTGATATGTACATGGATGGTATATGTTAGCGTCCCCATATGCTGGGGGCCTCCTGGGTCCGTACTTTTGCCGCCAGATGTGCGCAGAAATACATGGTGATCGACAATAACGTATCTCACACTGCTGTAGAGCAGGTTACTTCTCATTATGTCATAGCATACAAAATACCATCACATACGGACCCAGAGCCCCCTAGCATATGGAGACGCTAACATATACCATCCCCGACATCTGTACGAGAGACAACCCAATAGAGTCAGTATTGACCGAAAATCTTTGTGCTCCCAGGCGGCATCCGCATTCAGTAATCCAAGCCAACAAGGGTTCCCAGCCACAACGTGGCGCTAAGCGGGGTTTGGCCTGTCAAGGGTTTGTCTTTGATCAAGGTTGGTTGCTTGGGGAGGAACCATGACGTAGTCTGCATCTTGTTTATCTTTCATTGTCATGGACATTGTCATCTCGTCCGTCTTCCATGGTCTCCAATCGAGGAGTGTGGAGTGTTCGTCTTGTTACTAGGCCAAAACTTGGTAACCTTCTGATCACATACCTATTACTCCCAATAATTTGGATGCCCCTTAAAAGGCACAATAATACTGTTGTTTGTACATGTCTTGCATATGGTGTTGTATGCGGGCGAACATCTCCCCTCTTGGAGGATCCTATAGTCACCCGCCATCCCCAACTAGAGCGTATATTATGTAGTTGAGGCGGGTACATCGTCTTTGTCATACATTTCGTTAAATTAGACAGCTTATAAACGACATCCCCCTGCATTGGTGTTTGATGATGCCGAAGCAGTACGGTCGCCCACTCTGCGTGTCTCGAGACACCCCAACGCACTGGAACGAGACATGTCTATCATCCGGCCCTGGGGTTGGTCCGTCTCCAAGAGGCTGCCGCAAACCCGGGGTGCTGAAAGCTCTGGCTGGATAGATAATCTACGACTGCCATGGTAGTGGATAAGACTCTTAACCTACAGCCTTCACATGTCCACCGACCGAAAATTCTTCGACATTCTACGTAAACGACGGCAGTACTTCTCACGCCAAGACGTAGAGAATCACAGTATTGGACCTGACCAATTACCAAACCTGCTGGGTAGCGAACTCGGCGAAGAATTCGCCGAAACAATCAGAGCGGCTGTGGCAGACCTCGGCTCATCTCCCGGATTCAAGCTTCGTTTTGTTAGCTACACCAAGGTAGGCAGCAGACAGTTTTTAAGCCTCGGCTGCGAGGGGGTGCGTCCGGGAGATATGATCTATCAGTTCGACTGTTGCTCTCTTCCGGTGATTCTGCGGGAAACAAAGACGGCCAAGTTTGCGCTTGTAGGCGAGGCATGCCTAGGCCGAGAAGATGAGGGTGAATGGCTGACGGCCAAGCGCTGCTTCGTAGTCAGATCAGCCATGCATCGACCGCCCCACGAGACTCAATCACTGACGATAGATCTCTCCAACTGAGATCGGGCTGCACGTACTGCGGCAAGCGATCCGCGATGGACGACTTCCAATACCAGATAGTGCGAGCCATAATGTTGAAGAGGATATTCTCCACGAGTTCGACCCCGTGGTCTCCGGTTGCATGAACGACCCTCGAGCTTGGAAAACGCAGGCAACATCCGATGCTGTGATTCGCTATCGGGTGGTAGCTATCGGAGCAGCCCACCACTCTTTGTTGGTATGGGGGAGGTCCGCCGTGTGAGAGACGACCCTAGTGTTGTGTCGTGCGTCTTGTTTATGATTGACGACTCTGAATCGGTGCCGTGCCCCATGTCTATGATCAACGGTATATCAAGACCAGCGCAGCACTGCTCCCTAAGTCAACCCCAAGTCCCAAAGGTCAGCACAAGTGCGAGCATTTCCACCCACAATGACACGGCAAAAGGGGCAGGATCATCACAAAATGGAGGCGATACTCTGTCGAGTGGGAATCCAGCGAGCCCATAGGTACGGAGCTCTTAGCGTCCACTTTATGCGTGATGTCTAAGGGCAGCCTCCTTTCCAGGCACGGGGCCCCCTTTCCCAGAATCGACGACGTCGAAGCACGGTCGCCATGCTAGGGTGGAAGAAGGAACTCCCATGGTGGATGAGCGACCTCTCAGCTATTCTATACGGTCTTTGGTGCGCAAGGATCCTTTTAGGGCGTCAACCCGTGACACACGGTAGCCGGACGAGGTTGCCTTTGCCGCCGGCAGCCTTGACCACCTATCTTAGGTTGTCTGGGCCTCTCGCGGTAGTCTAGGAGTTGGCGCCGCCGTAGCCTGGAGTATGCCATCATCGTGAGTGAAGCTGTGGAGTTGTGACAGGACCGAAGCCAAGGCTCTTCGGGGACATACCCTCGAGAAGAAGTCTCTCACCGAAGGAATTGGCAGGATTTTGGCAGGAAAGACACAAGCTAGAGGGTCTTATTTTGGGAGTGCGCCGCGGCGAGTGTCAGGGTTCCAGCACCCCGGGAAAGGACTTAGGCCCAGACGACTACGCAATGGTAAAGTAACCAAACAGTGAATTTCCTATGCCCGACGTGGTATCCGTTGTATGCTAAACATGCACAAACGCCGTAATCCGTGCAACCCAGCCATGTTCCCAGCCCGTCACATAACGCCTCTATGATTCAAGTGAGCCTGCTGAAATTGCTTGAGCAACGTGACTACGCCTGGTCCGTCATCATTCTCTGTCACAGTACTAGTTTCCCTGCTCACACCATGGCGAGGTGAGCCCTCCCATGTTGACTCCCCAAGACGGGCTACGCTCTCCTCAACATCGCCGTCATCGGTGTAATTCGTCCCCTGCCGAAGGGCAGCTCTCTTGGCGCCTCCATCTTCCGCCGATTCCTCAATGATGTCTCCATCGGCTTGATACGGACCTCGTTGCTGCCGAGCCCGCTGTGGCGTCCGGCCCGCGATCAGAGAGGCTGAAGGCTGATTATGAGGATCGAGTAACATCGACGCCATTGGTGATGGCGCAACAACTGGTCCGGACCGCGGCGTCCTTCCAGATTGCTGAGGAACCGGTGCTGCTCGAGCCCTTGGTAGTTCGCTGCGGCCCATGCGTGACGCGCGCATGTCGGCAGCTAACGTTGGGGACGTCAAGCCTGGGAAAGCCGGTGGAGGGTGAAATTGGTGACGCCCAGCTGGTCCTCCTAATGGGTGTGCACCAGGCAGCCCGCTTCTGGGATTATAGACATAGTTGTCCAGGAATCCATGCATCGAGGCTTGCATCTTGCCGTGTTTCGTGGCATAGTAGTCTTCACGGGCATCGACAGTATTGCCCTGTTGAGGTTTACTGGTACGATTGTCCTTCTGGAAATCGAAAACCGCGAAAGAGCACACGTAACCGAGGCCATCGACATGGATTGTGAACTCCCGGAAGAAATCGATGATCTGATCGCTGCACTTGGGTAGACTGAAGCACAGCACCAAAGGTGTGACCAGAACACTGAGAATTTCTTCGGCAAAGGTAATCACTCTCGGCTTGTACAGCTCGGCGAACTCTGTCTTGACATCGTAACTGTGGAGGCGACCCTTCCACTGATCTGGCTGATAATGCGTGTATTCGATGACGTTCTGCATGGCGTACTCGGGGTCGAAGACGTCGTTCTCCTCCGATATCATGCCTCGGGCAACTGCCCATATCGTTGTCAAAATCGCAACAAAGGCAAATGCGTTCATGCCTGGAAATATCTCAAAGTCCACGAACATCTCTGGGTCTGAGAAACCCACTATGGCAAGGACAGCAATGAGCGCGCCGACGAAGAACTGCGCGGTGCGGGCAGCTAACTCGGTCTTCTTCTTAGGAAATTGGTCAATGTAATGCTTTGCAAAGGGGTAGGACATGTTCAAGCGCTCTTCGAAGAGGTGTGGTAGCTCGTTGAATTCTCGAAATTTCCATCTGGCAAGTGGTGTGTATTGTCTAGCTCCGATAGAGGAGGTGTTTGTTTTGAATTCCTGCGCACACGGTCAGTCGGAACATGGGCGCCAACCAGATCAAGGAGGCAGCTCACATTGTAGTAGGTGAAAATGAAATCGACCACGAGACCGCATGCGACAAATGGTGCGAAGATGAGGTTCATTGCCGCAGCGAAAGCAAACCTGGTCTTCATCTCCCGGCTGAGCTGGCCTCGATGGTCAGATTTGAGGACACGTTGATGCACCTGGCCACTTTCGGTGAATACCAGGTCCAGGACCCCAAACTGAACCGTCCACTCCAGTGACTTCGAGAAGAGTTGTCTTGTCCGGAGAAACGGAATAGGGGCAGCAAGGTCCAAGATGTCCTTGTTGAACAGCGCAATGATGTAGTTCTCCCGTCTCATCAACCTATTCGCGATGTCGTGGGCATCCAATCTTTCTTTGGATTGACCCCCCACCTGCGCGCCCAATTGCTTTGAGATGAATCGGCGCTGGGAAGGCGTGATGTTGGTAGCTGTCTTGACGTTTTGTTCCCGAAGACCGGTGATTTTGGAGACGACATCTTGCCAAGAGACCGTCTGCATGTCTTCCTCGGGTATCTCCAGCAAATATTCATAGAAATCGCGGATGTGCAACAGACGTGGGATATCAAGCACCCACTGGATGGACTTCCAGACGAAGTAGAAGCTGCAAAGCCAAAGACTCAGGTTCCATATGCCCCACATGTTCTTGGTGCACTGGGGGATCATGATTTGGGAGAGGCTTTTGCTATCTCGGATCTTGCTGTAATCTATGCACTGAGTTAACAGCGTGAGGAGGCTGGCAACGAAGGCGACCTTGCTGTTCTGCGTGTAAGCTTCTAGTCTCCAACTATTGAGAAGGGGGTGCAGTGTCTATTGGAATCTGGGAAACGTACAGAAGATGCAACAATCTCTCGAGTAGTATACACCAAATGCCTGCTCCAAGGTAGTAGTCGTAAACATCCCTGATGAAGACATCAAGATTGGAGACATTAGCCCATCGGAACATGGCCTTGTCCTTGGGACTGCCGACGAAGCCTGGTCTTCTCGAGGGAAGACCTTCTCGACGCCGTCTAGGCAGAAAGCCATATTCCTCATCTTGATGTAATCTTTGATGTTCCTGCGCAGCCTCCCACTGCGATTGTATCCGCCTGTTCGAAGGGCCAGCGGCAGCAGGATGCCGGGAGGGCTGTGGCCCAGACCTTGTTGGGCTGGACTTGGGTACCGCGGCGCCAGGCCCCTCTACCAAGAGGGATGCTGGTACATCATTGTCCGCATCGTCCTCTGGTGCTAGCCAGTTCGAAGGTCTAGGGCCTCGTCTGGCTCGCTGGGAGGGACCCGCTCGAGTATCTCTTGTAGTGGCGACTGGGCTCCTGGTCGAGAGGCGACTGTCGCCAAGTCCGAGGGCATCGGCCTGATCGAGGTCGTCGTCATGGAAGTTTTGAGCGAGATTCTCTTCGTCTAGATCCAAGCCTGCTCCGCTCTCCAGATCGACACCTTGATCGTCTCGGAGTCGTTCGTATAAGGATCGGTCGTCGTTCGTGGGCACCAAACGAGAGAAGAGGTTCGGCGGCATGGTGTCAGTTTGCTCCGGAGCTGTTGGCCACTAAGCCTCGATTAAGAATATGATGTTCAACTCTGCTCCGTCAACATGGCAAGCCGTAGAGCGTTGCAGGAAGCGATGGCAGGTTGAAGAGAGGATAAAGTGGTCGAGTTGGTTGGGATTAGGTGGTGTCGGATGCCTTGAAGATGTATCCCACAAAGCGTGAGCTCGGGGCTAAGCCAGGATGGAATAAGTCAAGTGAACATGGCAGAGAATGATGAAGAAGTGCGGTGACTCTTCCATGTAAGTACCTAGGTAGTTGAAGGGTCCTGTGATGTCTGCTGATGAGGGGACAACAGGTCTTATGTTGGTCTCGGCTGGTATGGTCATATGAACCTTGAGGACCTCCCCCCGGAATGACAAGTTGAAAGCTCCCGCTTCGGAGGCAGCTGCATGCGCCCAAGGGCCCTTATCGTTATCGGCTTCTTATCGAACCCTTGTCTGCCAACCTTATCGTGGACGGGAAGAGGTCCCACAGTGAGTTCAGTGCGTATAGACTGACACTTGCCAGGCAGCTGCTCAGGAGAACCTGCCAGCTGCATAGAGGCACCATGTTGGAGCCACGCATTTGGTCCGATGATACCTGCCGCAACTCTCTGAGAGCTTTCATCGACACCAGCCAAGATCAAGCAAGCAATAGATCTCTGACAGGCACTCATTTTATAATACAGTGTAGTCAACCCAGGGAAGAATCTCCCAAACTACGCCTTTCACAAGCCAAGGTCATGAACTAAACTAGCGCTTCTCCTCAAAGGCCTGCTGAAAGATGGCCATAAATGGCCCCGGGCCCATCACCCTACCACCCCGGGACGGCCTATCACCAGGTCCACTGTCACCGCCGGCTCCCTCGACCCCGGGTTTCGGAAGGTCCTCAAACCCCTTATCCTCAAAAGTCACTACTGTACTCTCAAATCCGTACGCTGATTCCGAGTTCCGGGAGTCCTTGACACTGTTGGATGAGCGCGGCATCGGCAACAGCGCAGAGACCCGAAGACAACTGCGGTTGGATGTTCAGAAAGATGTCATTGAGAGTAATGGCGAGATCATCAAAGAGTTCGGCCGCGTGGCCGAGGTGAGTCGGTCCTCGCCGCCTTTTGATTACCATTGTCAAATTGACCCTCGTGTCAGCAATTGAGAAGGATTGGCACCACCATCGACAAGCTCAATCAGAGCTATCAGGAGATGAAAAGCCATGTCACGGCAGCCCACGATGCAACCTCTTCGACTCTTGAGGAGGCCTCATCACTGATGACGCAGAAAAGGAATGTCGAGACGAAGCAACAGCTCCTGAAAGCCTTCCGCGAGCATTTCGTTCTCTCGGAAGATGAGATTGCCTCCTTGACATCGACAGTCGAAACTGTCGACGACCATTTCTTCCTAATATTAGCCAAGGCAAAGCGCATCAGAAAAGACTGCGAGGTCCTGCTCGGGTTCGAGAACCAGACGCTTGGCCTCGAGATCATGGATCAGACATCTAAAAATCTGAACCAGGCATTCCAGAAGTTGTATCGCTGGATCCAGAAGGAGTTTAAGACACTAAATCTCGAGAACCCTCAAATCAACTCATCTATTCGGCGCGCACTTCGTGTACTAGCGGAGAGACCATCTCTGTTCCAGAGCTGTCTCGACTTCTTTGCGGAAGCCCGAGAGCAGATCCTCTCGGACTCCTTCTACCTCGCTCTCACCGGTACATCTGCGTCAGGGTCGAAAGACCACTCCGTCAAGCCCATCGAGCTGGCCGCTCACGACTCTCTACGATACGTGGGAGACATGCTTGCATGGGCTCACTCGGCAACGGTTAGTGAACGCGAAGCCCTCGAGGTCCTCTTCGTCTCGGACGGCAATGAGATCGCAAAGGGCATGCAGGAAGGGCGCGAGAACGAGCTCTGGCAGTTCATGGCCGACGAAGGCGACGGACCTCCCGAGTTCGATGCGGTCAAAGCCCTCAATGAACTCGTCGACCGTGATGTGTCCGGCGCCGCACGCATCCTACGACAGCGAATCGAGCAGGTCATCCAGACCAACGAGGAGACGATCCTCGCCTACAAGCTCGCGAACCTGCTCAGTTTCTACCGGTTCACATTCTCAAAACTACTAGGGGACGAGGCAGTCCTGCTGCAATCGATGATAAATCTCGAGTCTGAGGCCCTACGGCAATTCCGCTCCCTGATGCGCGACCACATCGCCACCCTACAAGGCGAATTCCAGCACACGCCCTCGGACCTTGGGCCCCCAGACTTCCTACAAAACTCACTGGAGAAGCTCACGGCAATCATGCAGACATATGACACGTCCCTCGCGTCGGAAGGTGACCGCGAAGCCGACTTCCAGCCCATCCTGGCGGAGGCTTTCGACCCGTTCCTCGCGGGCTGCGAGAACATGGCGCGCAATATCCGCGCGCCATCCGACTCCATCTTCCTGATCAATTGCCTGTTGGCAGCCAAGCATACGCTGACGCGCTTCGACTTCGCGGCCGGCCGTGTGGCGCGTCTGCAGTCCACCATCGACGAACACACCGCCCGGCTAGCCGAGAGCCAGTACGGCTTCTTCCGCACAGAGTCCTCGCTGTCGCCGCTGCTGGACGCCCTAGCACCCCTAAGCGACTCCAACAAGGAAGACGTGGCCAAGGTGGCCGAGCTCGACGCGGCGCAGCCCGAGGCCCTGACGCACGCCAGCCAGAACCTAGACGACTTCCTGCCGTCCGCCGTCATGGACGCCATGGAGAACGTCAAGCACCTGCAGGACGCGGTGCTGGCGCGCGAGGTCACCGAGGAGGCCGCGGATCGCTTCTGCAGCGACTTCGAGCACGTCGAGGAGATGCTCATCTATGCCGACGAGCTGGTAGAGCAGGAGGGACGGCGCCGGGCGGTAGACGGCCAGGAGAGGCCGAGCTTGCGGGCGCTGTTCCCCAGGACGACGGGCGAGCTCAGGGTCTTGCTCTCGTAGCGTTAGCGCTGTATAGAGATATTTGCAATATTTCAGACATCGGTCACAAGTGCTGTGCATTCCCATGTGTTTTCGCGACTTAATGGAGTGTGAGGGTTTTGCAACTCCAAGATCTGAATTATCTCGAAATTTGAACAGCCAACGCTATACCAACATGCAGAGGACTGGAATCCAGGTGGGTATCTACATGAAATCAGAGCGAATATGCACGCTTCCTATCTCGACAAGCCTCGCTTCTTGTGCTTCAATTGCTTCATGATGTCGTCTACATCGTCCCTCTTTCCATCTTCTGTCCACACCGCGAGACCCTATTCGTTGACCTCCGGCGTGTCACCCCTTGCCCTCTTCACGGGTCGGGCATCCCCACTCGAACGTCTCGGCCGCTTATAGGTGTACTCGTCGACGTCATCGAGTCTCGCCAATGCTGCCGTCAGGCGTCTGCGTGCTGCGATCTCCTGCTTGTTGCTGTCGGCGCTGGGTCTGTAGTACTGTTTGACGATACAGACCATGGCGTGGTAGCATTCGTAGAGGAGCAGGCGAATCGGCGCATTGTCGCGGTCCTCGATAATATCGTCGTGCTCCTCTTCATGATCGTAGCCGGCGTTGTCAGTGCCTCTGCTGCTGATGTCTGTTGGGTAGTCGTTTCTCTGGGGAGGGCTGGCCCTGTGGGGATGGTAGAAGCCGCGCATGAATTCCGACGTTGGGTTTTGTGTGAATATAGTTGAGAACAAGATATCGCCGAAGACGCCGCTGCTCCAGTCATGGAGCCCACTAACGGCGATACTCGGGGCTGGAGCTGGGTTGGATTTCTCCGGTTGACCTTCGTATGGCTGGCGCTGCTGTGGACTCACGGTCTGTCCGCCAGCGGCATGTTTAGGATCGTGTTTGGCTTCTGTGGCATGTGTCTTTGGCCGCGCTTCGTCCCTTTCGTCAAAGACCTCCTGAGATCTCGACACCAGAACATTGTCGTCTTCGCCAGCATCCAACACGACAAGCCGTGGCGCGGTGACGGCGTCCAGGAGATGGCCCAACCTGTCGAAGTGTCTCCTAACCGACTGGTAGCTGATCGTCACCGCTAGATCCTCTCCGTCCCTCAGGATGCCCTCCAGTAACGAGTGAAATGCCTTTCTCCAGCTGTCCTCCTCCGAGGACACCGGCGACATTGGCGACACCAGCGGTGGTCCAAGGACCATAGCAACCAGTCCAAACTTCCTAGTCGGAGATATGTGGCTTGCCAACCGTCTCATCATCTGACCCTTCTGGAAATCGACGATACCTCGCTCCGCCTCTGTCAAAGGTGGTGCCAAAGAGGAGATGGGACACCCTCTCGTTGGTTCGAGGATATTGAAAGCCAAGCCCAGCTCGGTCGGTTGCGAAGAGTGCACGAGAAGCGTAGGAAGGTATTTGATGATATCGTCATTGGCCTGATGGGAGACGTCATCGTCACGAGGTCGGCTTTCGTCTGTCGATGGGCTGCTACTTGGCGGCGTACTTTGCTGGCCACGCCTATGCCGTTGCTTCTCGAAACTGGCAGCTTGTGCTCCCGGTAGTTCGAGGCTATTTTGCAGAATCCAATGAACTACGAGCGCTTCAGAGAGTACCAGCCGTTGCTCAGAACGAAGAAACCGCAACGAATGGGGTGCGGTATTTAGAGATAGTGTCCTCCCATCAGATATTTGGATGCTAAAGACTCGATGCAGTCGCTCTGTGCGTGAGGAGGAAACCGATTCAATGATGACGTTCGGCACAGCATTTCTCATGACTGCTCGGATGGGCTCTGATGGCGTAGATCGGTTCATGGACGTGGCGGAGGACAAGATGTCGCTTTGTACGACTGAATATGTTCGGCAGCATGAGGCCCGGCGCCGTCTTGTGGGACATGGCAGGCCGGTAAGGCCCCCTTTTGAAGGGGGAGCCTTGTGAGCAGCCACTTCGGAGGTGTGGAGGGACAAGAGAGGATACCGGGGGTCCTCGGCGATAGAACAAGGGTCGGCAGGTGGCGCCAGTGCGACCCCTGAACTGCGGCCCATGACTTTGTCTCTATAACAGCCAATAATGTCATGGCAGGAAAGATGGCGTTGACAACGACCCAACCAGAAGCTGATGCGGGTACCTGCTCCTAGAATGGACCTGCCTGGGTGGGAATGCCCAGCGCGGGCATCCGTCAAATCAGATGTTCTGTTGAAAGACGCGATCCATTCATCCCCCGGTTCGTGCTGACGGAAGGGTCGAGATGACCTAACTTGTAAAGCAGCGGGCATAGAAAGCAGCGGACCGATGACCGGCAGACTCGTGTATCTGAGAGTATACCCGCTTGGAAATAGGCACTTGTCGGGCACGGTTGATATACGAGAGATCAATGGTAAAGCGTGACGTGAATGTGCATAGCAAGGCGAGGAGGAGGCTCTTAAGTCCCAAAGACAACTCGAATGTGACAATACGACAATATGGATGTCATCGCAGGCGGGTGGGATTACAGGATAGTCTCGAGCGGGTGTGAGAATCACTAGATCACACAATACCACAAGGCTAACAACCCGGCTAGATGACAGATGGTTTGGTCAGGGAGCCAACGGCGGACAGAGGACAGATGGTTGACGAATGAGACACATTCTCGTACCGAAGAATAGTCGAAGCAGCATAGCTCGGCAGGGCGAGTAGCGGCTTGAGGGCAGTCGGGACAAGGAAAAGAGTTCGTGCTCGCCTAAGCAAGGCTCACTTTAGCCACGAAGCCAACAGTCGCAGAGGAAGATCGCTTAGGATTGGTAGGCGCGGCTACCGCATTCCGTGGTCTCGCCGTGTTCGTTTGGCGTGAAACGAGTACGTTCTGCCCGCTCTGTACCGCTGTCGCACCCACGCACTCACGCAACCACGCCGCCACGTCAAAGGCATGGTGCGCCAAGATGCCAGAGGAATCGTTCCAGAAGCCTCATCAGACGGGAGCCAGGAGGCTAACTGGGTGAGTACGCGGCACCATGGCGAAGCTGGGCGGCTGAGGAGCCGACAGTGGTACACGCTACATGTACAGTGGGCCGTGGTGGTTGCAATAGTGATGAGGGGTCTGGAACCTGATATGATATATCTGATATTGTGTCCAAGGTCGGTACGAAGCTCGACTAGACTGGTGGACCTTGGACTGCTGGATGCCATGTATCCAAAAGCGGGCATTCCCAGCAGCAGCTTCACCAACCATTGGGTGTTGGGAAGCGAGATTGTAGGTTCACGGGCATGTGTATCTTGTATCTTAGGATTCTCTACACCAACTCGGTCGGCGGCGTGAGATCCAGGAGGACGGCGAACTCGGTCACCAACTCAACACGACCCACCAGTCGCAAGGTTGGTCATCTCTAATAATCCTCCGTGGAATGAGAGTAGTCAGGACCTAGGGAGGCGCGGTTCCAGATTAAAGACTCGCCGAGACAGCGGACCACGATGCCGCTGGCAATACAGAGGGCAATGAACGGGATTCGCTGTGGGCGAGGGGCGGGATTCGCTAACAGTCCAGAGGTGAGGTGAGGTTCAAGGTGTCATGCTCTTGACGCCTAGGAGGAAGCGTTGGGAATTGAAGTTGCAATGATGCATCGACAAGCGAGTCGGGGAATATCTCATTGGTCCATCTTAAGCGAGACAGCCGAATCTGTACATGGGGCCCGAACCTTGCGTGGTGATGAACGGTCTAGTGCGTTGCGTTTTATCCATGGGTCTGGGGGACCAATCTAGTACTAAATACACACCAAAATACAAAGATGTACCCATCCATTGATCCTCCAGCCAAAGATCCCTTGTCTATCACCCATGAAAGCCACCTTTCCTGGTGCTTCCATCCCTTTATTCTGCCAAGGTGCCTGCCTGACCCCTTGTCAGCTGGCAACCTCCCTGACTGCCACCATACTGCCACCACAATCCTCACAAATGTCTTTTTTATTACTACTATCAGGTTCAAGGGATCTCCAGGGGTGTATGTCTGTGGAGTGCTGGCTAGTCAGGTGGCTAGTCAAGGAGGCTGCCATGACTAGCACCCTAAATTGTACGTTGACTCGGGAAAAAGTGGGCCAGAGGATCGTCTCCAGCATCTCTAAAGCTGTACAAATAGGTGTAAATACCACCCAATTGGGATAGCTGACAAATGATAACAACGATTGCAGCTACCGCTCAAGACCACAGGCTTGTCAACCCTTTCAAATCTGATAACTACTGTCAGATACCAGCGCACCATCTGGGATATGGACTGACCATGTCACGTGGATGACAGCGCACTAGACTGCGACCAGCCACCAGGGCAAAAACTAGTACTGAAAACTCGTACACAGACAGACAGTGCCCATACAACATCATAATACACACATCAATTGACCCTCGTATTCAACAATTAAGAGTCTCACTTGTTTCTAAGCAATCAGCATACATACATCACGAATACGGAGTCATCTAACAACCTTTTTTTTCTTTTTCCAATCATGAATATCACGGTCCCTGTACAAAATGCCACGGCGTACTACCGCTCTTGCAAGGACTTCATCGCCTGGTGTCTCCAGTTCAGAAAAAGAGCTGAAGTTCAGGGTATCTGGATATACATCGACCCGAAATCGACTAAACCCTGGCCTGAAGCTTTTAGTCCCCCTGATATCGAATCTGAGGACTATGCAAAGAGGGTTACACGGAGCGCCACTTAAGGACAACCTATCCAATGATACAACGCCTCTCAACTCACTAGTGACAGAGCCAATCTCTTCAAAGCAGATATCACACAGTTTGAATACAAAGACAAGGTCTATCAGCGCTTCAAGAGCTCGGCAGAAAAGCTCACCCAGTGGGTGCTCGAGACCGTGGATCAGACCACCCAACATACCACCCAACAGACAAAGCTTCCCCTTTGAGGCAAACCTCCGCAATTGGTACAAGGCCTCTTCGATGAGGGCGCCATATATAGCGAGCATGTTATGCACAAGGCTCAAGGAGAGTATCGAGCTATCATCTCCATGATCAATAACAAACTGCAAAAGAAGAAAGAGAAGGACTTCATATCAGGATCAATGACTAGGAGAAAGTGATGGCTAAAGCGATCAGAGCCAAGGTCCCTGAAGCCACATCTCTAGCTACCTGGTTTAATGACTTTATCAGGGCTGCCTCCTCAGTCAATGCCAACTGGTCCTCTCAAGCCAGAGTTACCAAGAAGACGTGTGTGCTAGAAGACACCATTAGTTATTCAGAGATCGCTTCAGACCTCTAGGAATACTGGCTCACCACATATAGCGGTGTAAACCTGACAAAGGGCTGGAAAGCAGGGTTCCCTGCACTCTATGGTGAATAGGCTGACAATACAGGGAATGACAAGGATAGCGAGAGCGAGAAGTATGATCAAAGAGGCCGCGACCAACAACGCCAGTGCAGCAGAGGAAGGAACAATAAAAGCAGGAACCGAGGAGGCTCTAGAAGAGGCTTAAGAGGTGGCTCACGAGGTGGCTGTGGAGGTTCTGGAAGCAAGAGGCGCTACTATGACGACGAGACCTCACGGCGAGTCTGCAAAGGGTGCTATGTAGCAGGGCACCGATGGGAGGACTGCTTCTATCTCTTCCTTAACAAAACCCCTAAAGGATATATACTCAACCAAGGGATTCTACGAATAGTAAATACTAATCTCGAAAAGAATACCCAGCTATCAGAAGAGTTAGCACAGATCAACAAGCAGCGCGATTGACTCGTGCTGGGGGGTGAGAGAGAGACAGTACAAAAGGTGCTTAATGGCGCAAAGAGAGCCGCAGAGTCCTATCTAGTCAATAACACAAAGTCCTCCTACTCAGTCGCCCCCTATCCCTTGATCAACTCCGCCATCCTCAACTCGGGAACGACCTTACACATCTTCAATACTATCATATGGTTCAACAACTTTCATAGAGCCCTAGGGGGGGACAGAGTATACGCAAGAGACACTTTCATCCCTATCCTCGGTTACGGAGAGGTTGATATCACTGGACGGGATGCGTTCGGATCTTTTGTAACAACTTTACACAACGTCACTTTTTACGAAGGTTTCATCACAAACCTGGTGTCCTTCTGGCAGCTTAAAAAGATAGGTTACTACTGGGATAACAAACTGCCAAACAATTGCGTTAGACGCAGAGACAACTCGGTTATGTTTGAGCTTATAGACAAGTTTGGTTAGTGGGTGATCGAGGATCTCCTTATGACAGTAACGAAAGCCTCCTTCGCAATCAGAACGCGCTCAATTAACTCAAGGACTGACAGATCTCCTCTAGCTGGAGACGAGTGACTCTGGCACTTCCGACTAGGCCATCCAGGCCCTGAAGTGATCACTCAGATCATCACCCATCTCCGGGGAGTTTGGATCAAGGGTCCGTCTACTGCTCAGTGCGATAAGTGCGGCAAGGTAAAGGCAAAGAGACATACTTACAGAGCACACAAGCGACCATTGTATAAGTCAGGTAGTGTGCTTATGATTGACTTTACTGACATTGAGAAAGACTCGGACAGATACTGGTGCGTTATGTTTGTCACCTGTAGGTACTCTGGGTACATCTGGGCATACTTCCTTATGGAGAGGACTGCGGAGCACATCCTCGGCGCTATGAGGGACATCTTCGGAGTCCCAAAGACCCAATTCCAGCTCAATATTGAGGAACTGGAAAGCGACGGCGAACTACTTAAGTCCAAAGCCATCAAGAGCTTCATTCGCAAGAACCACATCAAGCTTGAGCCCTCAGCACCACGCACTCAAGATCAGAACAGTGGCGCAGAGCGC